TGTCTGTAATAACCGCATGTCTAATATCATTGGATATTTTCTTGCTAAATAAGTTGTGGTTTTGTCTATTTTTTGTTTTGTTTTTTTGTTTTTTATATGTTCAAATTAGTTTTTTGAGGACTTTTCTAATGCTGGAATCTTTGTAATGTGATTTTATGATAATGATAAAACGATGGTATTTAAAACTACAGTCGAAGCTATAGTAATTTTTGAACAATGAAAAAAAAAAAAAAAAAAAACGTAATTTTCTAACACAAAAAAATAAGACATTTTTTCCCCAACGCTTAAAGCAAATGTGACAATTTTTTTTAACACACAAAATAAATATATAAATAAGTAAATAAATAGATAAATAAATAAATAAAGGATACAATCTCCTTCACCCCCTCCCCCACCTTCCCCCCCCTCCCCCACCCCCTCCCCTCCCTCCTCCCTCCTTCAACACCAACCAACAAACACCGGATTAACAGTTCGGAAAATCGAACAATCTGTACGAGGGGAGAAGAGGGGAAAAAAAAGGGGAAGAAAAATATATCAGTTTCAGTCTGTTCCGAAATTTCCAAATGAGGTGGAAAGTAATAACTTCAATCAGGGGGTGTTTGGTGGTGAGGGAGGGAGGAGGGAGGAGGGAGGGAGGGGGAGGAGAGGGAGAGGGGAAGGAGGGAGGAGGAGAAGGGAGGGAGGGAAGGGAGGGAGAGGGAAGGGAGGGAGGGAGGAGGGAGGGGGAGGGAGGGAGGAGAGGGAGGGAGAGGAGGAAGGAGGGGAGGGGAGGGAGGGAGAGGAAGGAGGGAAGGGAGGAAGGGAGGGGGGAGGGAGGGGGGAGGGAGGGAGGAGGGAAAGGAGGGAAGGAGGGAGGAAGGGAGGAAGGAGGGGTGAAGGGAGGGAGAGGGAGGAGAGGGAGGGGGAGGAGAGGGAGGAGAGGGAGGAGGGAGGGAGAGGGGAGGAGAGAGGGAGGGAGGGAGGGAGAGGGGAAGAGGAGGGAGGAGAGGGAAGGAGGAAGGGAAAGGGGAGGGAGGAGAGTGAGAGAGGGGGAGGAGGAAAGGAGGGAAAGTAGGAGGGAAGGAGTAAAAAAAAATTGACAGATAGACGGACTGACAAAGAAACAGAAATAAACAAACAAATAAAAAATAGAAATAAAAGGAACAAAGGAAAGAAAAAAGAAGAGAATAAGAGAGAAAATGCAAAGAAGAAGCAGATAAAGAACCGGAAGTAATGTTAATACAGGATCCCTCCCCCTCCCCTCCCTCTCCCCCCTCTTCCCCACCCCACCCCCACTTTCTAGCCCCCCTTTACCCCCTCCTCAACGTTCGATTTTTTTTAGAGGAATTAATAGATAAATGAATAAAGTGAATATAACGAATTGAATGATTACAGGAATAAAGTCAGAAGGAAAGAAAGAAAGAAAGAAAGAAGGGGAAAAAATATAATTAATTAGATGATAAACAAATATCAACATAAAGCACCAAAAAAATAATAAAATAAAAGGAAGAAAATATATATAAACTATAAGACTAATCTAAGACACAAGAAAAAAAATATATCCACTTATTCCCCTCTAAGTCTAACCCCCCTCTTCCCCCCTCCCCCTTTCCCCTTTTCCCCTTCTCTTCCCTCCCCTCTCCCCTCCCCCTTTCCTCCTTCCCCGTCCCCCCCCTCCCCTTCCCCCTATTCCCCCTCCCTCTACCCCCTCTCCCCCTTTCCCCCTCCACTCCCCCCTTCCCCTTCCTCCCCCACCTCCCCCCAACCCCCTCGACAAAGAAAGTGTTGGTAAAGTTTTTTGAAACAATGAAACCTCCGCAGTTACGAAATCTCGCGTATGCACTCTTTCCTGGTTTTTACGTAGGGTGAAGGGTGAAAAGAGAGGGAAGGAGAGGGGGGGAAGGAAAGAGGGGGGAGGGGAGAGGGGGAGGGGAGAGGAGAGGGGGGGAGGGGAAGGAGAGGGGGGGAGAAGGGAGGGGAGAGGAGAGGGGAGAAGGAAGGAGAAGGGAGGGGAGAGGGGGAGGGAAGGAGAGTGAGGGGGGAGGGAGAGGAGAGTGAGAGGAAGGAGAAGGGAGGAGAGAGGGAAAGGAGAGGAGAGTGAGGGGAAGGAAGAGGGGGAGGGGAAGGAGAGTGAGGGAAGGGAAGGAGAGGGAGAAGAGGGAAGGTGAAAGAGAGTGAGGGAGAGGAGGGGAAGGAGAGGGGAGGGGAAGGAGAAGGAGGGGGAGGAAGACGATGGGATGATGTGAGGGGAGACTAAGGGTGGGGAGGATGGGAGGATTAGAGGGAAAGGAGAGAAGGGAGAAGGAGAAAGGAAGAGGAGGGAAGTGAGGGGAGTGAGGAGAGGGGAGGGGGGAGGGAAGAGGAGGGAGGGATGAGGGGAGGGGGGGGGGAGGGAAGTGAGGGAGGGGGGGAGAGGGAGGTCAGTAAAAAGAGGGTTTCAGATACGTGTAAAAGAGTTTCCGCGTTCTGTGCCTCCTTTCCCCTCTGGGAGACAAAACGAGACGGAAGTCCTCCTTAACTCGCATCCTCGCTGAGTTCTCGAGGAGGAGGAAGGTCGAAGGAGGAGGAGGAGGAGGAAGGAGGAGGAGGAGGAGGAGGAGGTCGAGGAGGAAGAGGGAGGAGGAGGGGAGGAGGGAGGAGAGAGAGGAGGAGGAAGGAGGAGGAGGAGGAGGGGAGGAGGAGGAAGGAGGAGGGAGGAAGGGAGGAGAGGAGGAGGAGGAGGAGGAGGAGGAGGAGGAGGAGGAGGAGGAGGAGGAGGAGGAGGAAGGAGGAGGAAGGAAAGAAGAAGAAGAGGAGAGCAGAGAGAAGAGGAGGTCGAGGAGGAGAGAGGAGAGGAAGAAAGAGGAGGAAGAGAAGGAAAAAAAGAACAACAGGTTGTACGAGGGGAGAGGAAAGATAGGGGACAGAGAGAGAGAAGAAAAAGAAGAAGAAGAAGAAGAAGAAGAAGAAGAAGGAAGAAGAAGAAGAAGAAGGAAAGGAGAAGAGAAAGAGAAGAAGAAGAAGGAGGAGGAGGAGGAGGAGGAAAAAAGAAGAAAGAAGAGAAAACAAAAAAACAAAACAAAAAAAAACAACCTGCCCTGCCAAACCCCCATCTCCCACCCTCCCTCACCCACTCCCCCCCCCCCTCAAAAAAAAAAAAAAAAAATAGAAAAAGGGAAAAGAGCTAAAGAGAGTAATGGTTCACCGTCCGGGTTCTGGGCTTAAACCCCCTGTTCTGCAACAATGTCGACGGAGGAAACGCAATGCTGCAACAAACAATACCACCCTCACGTAATCTTCCCACCTCGACAAAGAGTCCACGGAACATTATGCCTTCTTCTGGGCGAGGGAAGAAGGGGGAAGGGAGGGGAAGGGAGGGAAGGGAGGGGAAGGGGAGAAGGGGGAGGGAGGGAAGGGAGAGGGGAAGAGGGGAGGGGGGAGAATGGGGGAGATGGGGGTGGGGGAAAAGGGAGGTGGGAAGGGGAGAGGGGAGAAGGGGAGGGGGAGGAGGGGGTAGAAGGGGCGAGAGAGAGAGGGGTAAGGGGGAAGGGGAGAGGGGGAGGAGAGGGAAGGGGAGAGGAGGAAGAAGTGAGGAAGGAAGATAGGAATCAAGAAGAGGAAGAAAAATGAAGAGAGAGAAGAAGAAGAAGAAGAAAAAAGGAGAAAGAACACCAGGCATGAAAGAGAATCAAATCAAGAGAGAAAAAAGAGAAAAAAACGAGTTTAAAAAATTAAAACAAACCCAATTAAACCCAAAAACCCTCAAGAAATGATAATAAAGATAATGATAATAATAATAGTAATAATAACAATATTGATAATAATAATAATAATAATAATAATAAAATAATGATATAATAATAATAATAAACTAATAATAATAAAATAATAAAATAATAAAATAATACAATAATAATAATAATAAAAATAAAAAAATAACAACCCAATAATAAAAAATAAAAATACACAAAAAATCACAACCTCACCCCAAACAAAAAACTACCCCACACACCCCCCACAACCCCCAACAACCCCCCCCACCCCCCCTCAAAAAAAAAAAAAAAAAAAATACCCCTCCCGCTCCTAATGGCATCGACTTCCTGAAGAGCGTAATGCCCACACGAGACAATGGGCGCCCTACCCTCCGAGGTGGGCGCACAAAAGGACTCCAGTTTCCGATTCGCGGCCACTTTTAAACCGCCCCACGATGACACATAATGACAAGGGACTCGCAGCCGTAAGGGTCTTTTTCGCTTGTCTGGCTGGAGTGTTTGTGTGTGTGTTGTGGTTTGGTTGTTGTGGTTGTGTTTGGTCATTTATTTTATATTATATTATTATATTATTATTAATTATTATTTTTATTATTTATTATTTTTATATATCATATTATTATTATTATTATTATTATTCAATTCATTATTCAATCATTTATTGATTATAGTTGTTGCGGTTGTTATTCCTTTTGCTTTTTTGTTTATCCTTGAAGAAATCTTAAAGCCTAGTGTCTTTAATCCCAACAGCTTCTAAGACCACAGACTCCTTAAATCCAAGAATCTTTAAATCATAGTCTTCTTTCTTCATATTTTCCTCCTCCTCCTCCTTCTTCTTCCTCTTTAGAGCATAGAGTCCTCAAAGCATAGAGTCCTTAAACCACAGAGTCCTTAGACCAAAGCACTTTGAGCTCAAGGATCTTTAAATCCTAAAGTCCTCAAGCCGTGGAGTCCATAGACCATAGAGTCCTTAAACCCAAGGATCCTTAAATCTTAGAGTCCTTACACCCGAAAATCCTTAAATCTAGAAACCAGGGATCCTTAAATCCTTAAACCCTAGAGTCCTAAACCCAGAGACCTAAACCCTAAAACAGTCCTTCAACCAAAAATCCTTAAATCTTAAGTCCTTAAATCTTATCCTTAAACCATCGATCCTTAAATCCTAGAGTCCCTTAAATCCTAGAGTCCCTTACACCCCAGAGACCTTAAACCCTAAAACCCGAGAGTCCTTCAACCCCCAAAATCCCCCCAAAATCCTTCAGCGGTACTCACCTCCCAGGCCAGTCCGGGGTCCTTGGCGTTGGCAGTCCATTTCCCGAGGAAGGGGCCGTAGCGAGTCCCGCGCACGATGGGCTGCTTGGCCCACACGCCCACGCCCACGCCCACGCTGGACGGGCGGACCTCCAGCTCCAGGGGCACCGCCGACAGCTGCTGTGTGATGAACCTCTCTGCCGCGGCGCTGAGCTCAGCTGCCGCCCCCGACGCGCTCATGTTGAGGTCGTGGCTGTGGTCGGGCGTGTGCGTGGGCGTGGAGGAGAGGCGGTGGGCGTGAGGGGACGAGAGGGGGTCACGTGAGGACACGGACCCGCCCTCGGAGTCGGCTTCGCTCAGCTCGCAGAGGTCGCGGAAGGAGCGCTCGCCCTCCTCGCCTGGGACTGCGGGGGGAAGGGGGAGAGGGGGGGGTTAGATCAAACGTCGGTGGGGGGGGGAAGGGGGAGAGGGGGGGTTAGATCAACGTCGGTGGGGTGAGGGAAGGGGGGAGGGAGAGAGAGACGATAATAGAGAGAAAATGGAGGAATTGAAGAAGAGGGGGGAAGAGGGAGAGAGATACGACAATAGAGAGAAAATGGTGGAATTGAGGAAGAGGGAGAGATAGACACAAACAGAGAAAAGAGAGGAACTGAGAGAAGAGAGAGATGACAATAGAGAGAAAATGGAGGAATTGAGGAAGAGGGAGAGATAGACAAATAGAGAAAAGAGAGGAACTGAGAGAAGAGAGAGACGACAATAGAGAGAAAATGAGAATTGAGGAAGAGGGAGAGATAGACAAACCAGAGAAAAGAAAGAACTGAGAAAGAGAGAAACGACAATAGAGAGAAAATGGAGGAATTGAGGAAGAGGGAGAGATAGACAAATAGAGAAAAGAGAGGAACTGAGAGAAGAGAGAAACGACAATAGAAAGAAAATGGAGGAATTGAGGAAGATGGAGAGATAGACACAAACAGAGAAAAGAGAGGAACTGAGAGAAGAGAGAAACGACAATAGAGAGAAAATGGAGGAATTGAGGAAGAGGGAGAGATAGACAAATAGAGAAAAGAGAGGAACTGAGAGAAGAGAGGGACGACAATAGAGAGAAAATGGAGGAATTAAGGAAAAGGGAGAGATAGACATAAACAGAGAAAAGAGAGGAACAGAGAGAAAGGGGAAGAAGAGAATAGATCAACGCCGGTGGGAGAGGGAATGGAAGAAAGAAAAAGAGAGAGACACCAACAGAGAGAAAATGAGAAACTGAGGGAAAGAGGAAGGATAGATAAACGCCGATTAGAGAAGGAATGGAATAAAGAGAAAGTGAGAAATGGAAAAAAAAGAAGAGGAGAGAAGGAGGTGAAGATAAACATCGATGGAAGAAGGAATGGAATAAAGAGCGAGAGATAAACCAACATAGAGAAAATACGGCAATAAAAGATCAGGTAAAATAAACAATCAATTAATTATTCCTAAAATCAAACTTATCGAACCTTAATTAACAAGAAACAGCCATCAAATTAGAACTCCTTAAATACAACTATAAAAATAATTAAATCTTAATATTCATAACTATTCAAGAACAATAATGAAATAATGTTTTTTTTTTATTAATTTATCCTGTATTCCGCTTTATATATTATGATATACTCATTAGCATATCATAATATCTTCATTCTCGATATAAAGACATTCGTAGACTGGAGACACTTCATTCAAAATCTCTTTCAGACACTCATTTATTTCTTGTGTTTAAAAAAAAAGTAGAAAAAATAGATGAAAACATTTACTCAATGCAACAATGACCCTCTTTGCAATAGAGGCTTTTTACCCTTCCTTCCCTTCCCCCCCTCCCTCTCCCCTCCTCTCGTCATGTCTACCCTCCCCCCCCACCCCTTCGTTCTCCCCTCTGTCCCCACCCCTCCCCCTCCCCTCCCTTCTCGCCCTGTCTACCCCCACCCCCTACCCCCCCTCTCTTCCTCCTCTCTACCCTCCCTCCTCCCCCCTCCCCCCCTCCCCTCGCTCTGTCTACCTATCCCCCTTCCCCCCTCCCCCCCTCCAAATTGAACCCAAAAACAAAGGACATAACACTCTAATTACCCACCCCCACCCCCCTCCACCCACCCCCACCACCCCCTCTCCTCCCTCTCACCCCGCCTCCCCTCCCCCCCCGACCCACTAATTACGATGACACTAATTATCTCATTCAGCGATTGAAATGGAGCTGCAATTAATACTCTAATTAGGTAGCGCGGACTTAGTGAAATACGATTGTGATGATGATGATGATAACGATAATTAAATAGAGATTTTACGGTCTTCGTTTCGTTCGAGATCGGGGTGTTGGGTGAATAAGCACTGAGCTGTTTTTTTTCTTTCTTTTCTTTTCTTTTTCTTTTATTTTTATTTTTTTTATTTTATTTGATTTTTTCTTTTTTCTTTTCTTTGTGTGTTTTTGTTTTTTGTTTTGTTTCCTTTTGTTTTGATTTGGTTTGGTTTGTTTTATTTTATTTATTGTTTTTGTTTTGTTATTTTTTTTGTTTTTTGTTTATCGTTTTTTTTTTTTTTTTTTTCTTGTTTTTGGTTTTGTGCGCGCGGGGAAAGGTATGGGAGGGATGGGGAGTTAATGAGGGGGTGGGTGTCATGCCTCTGTATGACACTGAGGCTAATAACCCACTCATTACCCACTCTTGAACCCACTCTCAACCCACTCACTTCATGTTGCAAGACCCATCCCGCTCCGTTGCAAAAAAAAATCGTTTGTTTGTTTTTTGTACATTGAGATCGTGTTTTTATTTCTAACTTATTTTATCATTTATTCATATATTAATCTCTTTTTTTACGATATGTATTGTTCTCTCTTTGCAAAATCGTAATTTATTATAGCATTTATTCACATATTAACCTCTTTTTTTAACATGTATTGTTCTCTCTTTGCAAAATCGTGGAATTGGCGATATGATTAAATCAAATTTAATTACGGCATCAATATTAGGGTATTTATGATTAAATTAAATTAAATCACGGCATTGATATGGGATTATTTATGATTAAATTAAATTAAATTACGGCATTAATATTGGGGCATAATATTGGGGTATATAATTAGATTAAATTAAATTGGCATTAATATTGGGGTATTTATTTTCTCTTCTCTTCTCTTCTCTTCTTTTTTTCATTCTTCTATTCTTTATCTTCTTCGCCGGACAAAGCCTTGTCTTCCAAGGAGAGTAAACGTCTCAGAGAGCACGCACATCCACATGTACACACATACACACATGTACACATACGCAGGGTATATACATACACGCGGATGCACATGCACACGCACGGGCATACTCTCAAACACACACACATACACACACACACACACACGCCACACACAATACACATACATACATACACATACATACATACACAACACATTAAACACAGACACACATACATCGCACACATACACACACACGCACCCACACATACACACACACATACACACACACAGACAGACACACACACACACACATGCAAACACAAACACACATACACACGCACACACACATACACACACACACATGCAAACACAGACACACACACACACGCACACACACGCACACACACACACGCACACACGCAAAATCAGCAAGTCATGATCATTGTAAGATATATCAACATGCAATTGCTATTTAACAAGACGCGAAAAGGATTGCAAACGTGATTTGTCAATCGCCGTTTAAGAAAATGATGAGAATAAAAGGAAAAAGTATTTTTTTTTTCTATGACGAGAAAGAAAGGAAAAGTATTATATAATTTTTTTTTTTTTTTATGACGAGAAAGAAAGGAAAAAGTGTATATATATCTTTTAATGACTAAAAAAAGGAAAAAGTTTTTTTTTTATGACGAGAAAAAAAGGAAAAGGTATTTTTTTATTTTAAAAATGACGGATTTTTTTTCTGAATTGTCACACCAGGATATTTTTAAAAAGCTAAATATTAATCTAAAGTTCCTATTTGCTATTAGAAAAAAAGTGAAATATTCATCTAAAGTTTCCATTATCTATTTCTAATACGGGTATTCCATATATTTTTTTCTTTTATTTACATTTATCAGATAATTCACTAAAGTTGCGTCATAATAAAAAACAAAAATATTGAACAAGTCTGAACATGTTCTATGACGTCACAAAGAATCACATAATTGAAAACGTAAATATATTATTGGTCAAAATTTGCATATCCCAAATCGCCTGAAAATTTTCGCTTCAAAAATTATGAAAATCATGATAGTAACAATTATGATAATAATAACGATGATAATGATTATTATAGTAGTGATGATAATACTACTACTACTAATAATAATAATAATGATAATAAAAAATAATATAATGATATACTAATAACAATGGTAATAATGATAATAACTATAGTAATATAATGATGATATTAATAACTATAAAATAAATAATATTATCATTATCATTTTCATTATCAATATCAACTACAAAACTAATAAAAACAACAATAAAAAAATAATAATGATAGTAATAAAAATATCAATGATGGTAATAATATCAATAATGATAGTAATGATAATAATAATGGTAATACTATAACATTATTATTATCATTATGAATATTCACAAAAATAATAATAACAAAAAAAAAAAAATAATAATAATAACGATAACCCACCCACCCCCTTCCTTCCCCTTCCCCGAGCGCCCGCCGCCTCCGCCGCCCGCGCCGCCCGCCGCTGCCTCGCGTCTCAAGTATTTAGCCGCGACGGGCGTGCTCGGGCGGGCGTGTTTGCCCCCCGCCCGAGGGTGTGTGCCCGAACGTGTCCTCAGCCATCTTCAGGCTCATCCTCTACACGTCTCCAGTCACGTGTCTTCCCCTTCGACGTCCCTTCGCCCTCCTTGACAGCGGGGGAGGAGGGGGGGGGTCGTGGCCTCTCGTTCGGAGGTCGGAAGGGGGGAAGGGGGGGTGGGGGGGGGTCGTGGCTCTCGTTCGGGAGGTCGAAGGAGGGGGGGGGAGGGGAAGGGGAGGGGAAGGAAGGGGAGGGAGGGGAGGGAAGAAGGTCGTGAAGCCCCGTCGGGATGAGGTCGGGAGGGAGGGAGGGGAGGCGAAGGGAGGGAAGGAGGAAAGAAGGTCGTGAACCGCCGTCGGGATGAGGTCGGGGGGTCGTGGCCTCTCGTTGTTCGGTCGTTCGGGAGGGGAGGGGAAGGGGGAAGGGGCGAGGGCGTGGTGGAGGGAAGGAGGTCGCGGGCGCCGTCCGTGGAGCAGAGGGCGTGCGTGTCCGTGGGCGGCGTCCCTGTTGACAGAGGTGACCGCTGCCGGGGCTCCGCGACTCGCCTCTTCACGGAGTGTGTTTAGGCGTATTATCTGCTGTATTTGACTGGATTATCGACCGT